GCAAAGGGCGGCCGACATGCAACGGTACGAAGAAGACTACCGGAGGATGTATGGGCCTACATACTCATACATGTCCCACATCGGCGGCTTTGCATCTATGTCCTCACCACCACCGGCACCCTCTTGGTATAACCCCTCCGATTGGGGTAATTTCGGCGGCTCCACTTCCGGCGGTGGTGGCGATGATGGCGGGGATACGACCATGGGCGAAGGAGGTGGCGATTATATGCAGGGAAGCGGCTTTGGAGGCGGATATTATGGCGGAGAAGGTGGGCACTAAGGATAGTGCCACGTTTCAAGTGTGGGGGAGGAAGCATCATCTCTTGGTATGTCACAATCCCTTTATTTTTTACCTTGTACTAAGCATTAGTTTCTACAAATAAATTGTTCAAAAAAAAAAAAAAAAAAAAAAAAAAAAGAAATGAAATGCTAGTTAGGTTGAAAACCCAAAAAGGGCAATCTAAGCAACAAGGGCTTACAAATAAAAAAAAAAATATAAAAAAAAAAATGATGAGTGAGTGGTAAGAAAGAAAAAGAAAAGAGATGCTAGGATGAAAACCTGAAAAGGCTCCTAGGCAAAATGAGAGATATGAGAGAAGCATTTGCGTTTTGCAGGGCACTATATCTTGGGGAGGAAGAAGAAAGGAAGAAGAAGAAGTGAGAAGCATAGAAGACCATTAAACCCAAGGAAAAATCTGTTTTGTAACTTCATTTACAATACTTGGTGGTTTTAGTTCCTTATTTCTTCTTATCTATGAACTCATGGTTTGTTGATGGACATTATGTAAACATTTGGTTTTACTCGAGGACGAGTAAATAAACTAAGTGTGGGGGAGTTGACATTCGTGTAATTTCCGTATTTAAAGTTGTACTTTTAATTAGTTTCGAGTGATTGTTACTTTGGAAATTACACACTTTTGGTGTAAATAGTTTAGTTTGTAAAATATCTGTAATATGTTTAGATTAGGTTTATTCTGAGCTCAAACAGGTCCAGATACACTTTGGAGAACATCACCAGTGGAAGGAAGGTGCAAGAATGCAAGAAAAAGATTGAAGATCTCGTTTTTGGTCTGTACCCGATCGGGTATGATCCATACCCGATCGGGTGACCGACAGACCCGATCGGGTATGACCCCATTTTTCAGCTTCGCCGAAGCCACATATGGTACCCGATCGAGTGGGTTGAAAACCCGATCGGGTACACGACCCTGCAAGCCTAAAAAGCCTATAAATACACCCCATTTCCTCCACAAGAAGATACCAATTCACATATACTTCTAAGCTCAGTTTAGACAAGTTCTTTCTTTATATTTTTATCATGTTTAGTCTCCAAATGAGGAGCTAAACTCTTCCATCTTGGTTTTGCTACTTTGAAGCTTAATGAATTGTAAGTTGTGAGTTATTTTCTTTGATCTTCTTCCTTGAATATTAATTAATTCTTATTCCTATTACATATTAATATTTTGAGCAATACTTAAAGGATCAACTAGTTTTGGTTCATATATTAATTAATACTAGAATCAGTCGGTTAATACGCTTGTTATTAACTCGGCTCTTTCACGGTAGTAAACTTGGGTTGCTAATGCATGCGTCTCATGGTTAGTAAGCCAAGGGGAATTAATTACATTGATTAAACCGATAAACCGCTTGTGTTGAGGTTATCAATCTCAATCGTTTTCATCTTGATTTTATTGCTACTATCAAGTACATATACGGCGCGTGTTCTATATTGACTCGATAGTAAGTTTTATTAATGAACGCGTCTCGTTATTAATAACTACCCTCGATGAATTGGATATACTCCTCGATTGAGTATTCGAGAGGAAGATAGTTAAAGATATAACCGGGATCAACGAACATTTCATTAAGTGGATAAAAGCAAAGCCAAGTCTTCTTCTCATTAATTAAACCACATAACTCGTTCATCTTCGTGCTTAAATATAAATTAAGTTCATCAACCAATCATAAAACCCCCCTTTGTTACGTATCTTTAATTCTATAAAAAGAGAAGTGTTCCTTTCCCTGTGGATACGAACCTTACTACACTATACTACGTATCAGTGTCGTATTGTATTTATTTTGAGTGCACCTCACGACAAGTGCACGTCACATCATGATCAACCCCTTCATCAATCCCAAATCCCCAATTAAAACTACGCACAACTCATAATTGAAGAATCAACGGAAATGGGATGAATAGAAATAATTCTCATTAATTAAAAAGATGGAACTTACAAATAATCTCAGGGTCTTGAAGAACAAAGCGGTAAAATACGTAAGAATTCGTCCCTAGGCCTCTCTCTAAGATCCCCCTTGAAAAAGGGGGTTTACGGGGTGTTTAAATAGAAAACAGATCAATCCGGGTTGAAATAGGACATTTGGGGCGAAAATAAACCCGCGGGGCGCGCGGGCGGTCGTCCGCGGGGCGCGCGAGCGTCATTCCGCGCATAAATATTTTGCTCTGCACGCCGTACCGTGCGGGTACTTTTGAGGCATGTTTCTGGACCACAGGGCGTGCGGTTCAGCCGCACGGTGTGCGGTTCAGATATTTTGACTTCTAGCCCTTAGAATCACCCGCGGGGCGCGCGGTACTGACCCGCGGGACTCGCGGATGACTTATGAACCGTTTTCTTGCTCTTTTCTTCCCCGTTGGCTCCCGAATGCTTCTTTGATCGATCCAAAGGCCGTTTCTTCATCAAATCTTCGTCATGAACCTCCCGGTGACCTCCAAAACTCTCAAATCACTCTCAAGTGCTCTCCAACTCTTCCCGATTACTTCTCAAGCGCCGGTGCTAGACTCAAAATTCCTGAATTTGACTCCAAACAACACAAAACTTGAACCAACGCCTGGTAAACATAACTTGAGCTAAAATTGAGACTTGTAAAACCTTAAAGCTAGGAAAAGCATCAAAAGTTTGATCCCAACAAGCATCAAATGCGTGTCTAGATATGGACTTATCATAAAGCATTATTCTTAATTATATATTACGAGAAATAGACAATATTTTATTTAAAAGCCCGTTTGATAACACTTATATTAAGCTTATCAGTCTTATTTGTGAACTACTTAGAGTAAAGGGTAAAGGGTCAGTTTGGTGATAAATAAGTCCTAAGAGTAAAGGGTCAGTTTGGTCCTCAAAGTTGCAAAAAAGGCGTCAAATAAGTCCTTATATAGAAGATTCTGTCCGGACGTGCCATTTGAGGTGGCTCCCGGTGGAATTTTGTGATAAATTTTTTTGATCATCTTATTCATTAAGTTTAGTTTACTCATACCAAATTTCAGCTAAAAATTCAATCGGGGAGACATTCAAATGAATTCTTGAAGATAACAGTGCTTTTAACGGCACAGTTATCTTCAAGAATTCATTTGAATGTCTTCCCGATTGAATTTTTATCTGAAATTTGGTATGAGTAAACTAGACTTAATGAAAAAGATGCTCAAAAAATTTCATCAAAAAATTCCACTGTATAGATATGCACCCTATGTGATATTTGACTTTGCTAAAAATATGTGGACCTAATTAACAGCTTTTTCAAAATATAACATTTTTTAGAATAGATAAAAATTGAATACAACTCAAACTCAACTCGAACCAAACCAAAATTCTTTTTACTCGACTTAAACTCAAATTCAATCTTTCTTTATCAAGCCCAACTCGATCTAAGTTGAACTCAATCTTTCTTTATCAAGCCCTACTCGATCTAAGCTGAACTCGAACTCTACTCGCTCGATTAGCACTCCTATTTTAGATTTCTTGTGTCTACGACTTCATAAATTATGAGAGTATAAGCTTTATTGTAGCTTTAGAATCTTCACACTTAATTTGGAGCCACAACTAGTGGTGGACTCGGGCCGGTTCGGGCCCGGTTCGGGCCTGGGCCCGGCCGGGCCTCGGGCCAGAAAACTAGGGCCCGAGCCCGAACCGCCGGTGGCCGGTTCCGGTTCCGGTTCCGGGCCAAACCGGGCCGGGCCGGGCCGGGCCGAACCGGTCCATATTTTTTTTTTTATTTTGGTTCTCCTATTTAACCCCCTACCCCTCCCCCTCAACCCCAAACCACCCCAAACCACCTCAAATGGCCCAAAATACCTAATCCAACCAAAAACTTAAAAAAATTTCAAAAAAAAAAATTAAAATAAAATCCGGCCCGGACCGGGCCCGAACCGGCCGGGCCGGTTCACCAAAAGCAGGGCCCGAGCCCGGACCGCCCATCACCCGGGCCGGGCCAAACCGAACCGCTGGACCCACCGGGCCCCGGGCCGGGCCGGGCCAAACAGTAACCGGGCCGGGCTGGTTCCGGGCCGGGCCGGTTCCGGGTCGGGCCGCCCGGCCCGAGTCCACCCCTAGCCACAACACCATGAGCATTATTATACTCCGTAAATAATAAAGTTACGATTATGACCGAGTTTAAAACACGTTTTTCAATTCTCTTACAATTAAGGATTACATTAGCATGTGCATTGTGCAAAATATGGTATTACCTCCGTCCCATATCAACTTCTCCTCCACTATTTATCTAGTCAACTTAAATTGTTTTTAATTTTTGGCTTTATGTATCTAACTTTTATCAAACCTGAGTATTTTTTTACACTTTTATAAAACTTTTAATGTAATTAAATTTTACTTACTAAAAAATAATCTGAGTGATTAACTTTATGGTCAAATTATCTTAAAGTGAAACGGAATTCTTACTTTGGGATGGAGGGAGTATCATTTAACATACTCCGTACTAGATTTCTATTCGATTAAGGTGTTTAGTTATTTAACCACGTTTTCAACTTTTCTCCTAATGGTCGACTTAAAAATATTAGTCTGGGTGATTTATATACCTCAATGAAAACGTTCTAACTGCATATTTAAACACATTAATCTTATCTTGCACAAACAATAAACTTTCAAATAGAATATATTATGGGTATATATAGCATGCAGATATTGGGGAGATTAGGTTTATTGAAATGAGTGCATTAAGGATTAGTCAAAATTAGCAGCTTGATATCGTTTAGAAATTTTGGGCAGGATCTCTCTCTATTTGTATAGCAAAAATATCCAATACGTGAGGACCAACTGACCAAGGGGTTACAATCTCTGGAGCATAAAAGTCCTCATGGACCAACTACAAAAAGCTTCTGTCATATGCACATGCTAGGTTATCATCATACAAAATATAGAGAATGAAACCCCTGAGGGACAGGAGATACCTATTTCTATACCCTAATTTATCAAGTAAAACTACATAATGTAAAACTGCCTGGGGGTGAAAACGGAAAACAAGCCTGAAAGTTGAAACTACTATCTGCAGAACCCCACTTTTGTGTTAGACCAGTTTGAAATGAGCTATCAACACCATCTATAAGTAACTATCTGTTCAAGAAAAAATTGGAAGCCATTAATTAATACTTTAATTGACTAAATAGTCTAAAAAGAGCTCAGCAGAAAATAATGACAATTGCAGTAGAGCCATCTTTATGACGCAAACATCACGTGACCATAGAGTTTTTCGCCCATATAAAAAATGACATCTTTTTATCTGTTTCCATGCAATTTATTTATCGAATCTAGTTTACAGTGTTTCAATGTCCAAGACGAAGCAGGAGACATGTCCTTCAACATCGCTACTAAACTCCACTAATCCACTTCAAAAACATACAAAGTATAAGTGAAAGTGCCAATAGATCAAGCTATACCATATTATACGGTAAGACCTAATATTTTGACTATCCCTCAGGTTTCTGATTGAGGTTCATTTCATTCAAACCACTCCCAGTTTTCCACCGGCCATTGTTTGAATGTAGACGGTCAGGAAATGCTGTGCATTTGCTTATTAAAGATATTAATAAATGCACTTACTGTGATTGGTTTTACAATGGAAAATGCCATATGGCAATATGAAGAGCCCTTGCCACAAAGAGTCCTGCCGATGAGAGTACATGTGGCAACGCCATATGGGAGCAATCACCATCGCCACGCCATGTGTGCCATTTTTTGGGAGCAGATTTAACATGTTCATTTAATTAGTTTTGGGCTTTATTCCTGATTACTAATTAAGCAGTCAGCCCTTCCCATAATATAAATAAATAAAAAAACCCTAAAACCCCATGTAGATAGAGACCAGCTAATTTAATGCTGGATCTACTCTAGAGAAGCTGCACAACTACAAAACTATAACCTCTTTATAGATGATAAACTTCAAAACAGACATTAAAATAAACTTTAAAACATACTTCAAAACATTTTGTATCTACTTGTCCTTCAAGTACCGTTGTATAAAAAAATTAACCGCAGAATGTGGCAATTTTTGGATACTAACAACATTGCCCCAGTGCCCAACGGTGGGGTAGGGGGGTTGGATGTATGCCGAATGTGGTAATTTTGGATATTAAGTTATTTTTGGAACTACTTTAAATTGTTCTAACTTCACATATTTTGTTTAGAATGTGGCTATTCAACTCTTTTGCTCTTTTTTTGGTGGTTAAATTACAGCTCTATAGTGTCTATAGTTCATAACTTTAGTACTTATTTTTGTGTCATGTGGTGACAGCCATAAATGCGCCAAACGTCATGGACAAATGCCTTGGCGCCATGACTGTTGCCAACGCCACGACAACTATGGGAAATGCAAAGGAAAACAGCATATGACTATTGTTTTATTTAAATAATTCATATGTTTGGATTGATTAATGATTAGTCTTTATATAATAGAAATACATAAATAAAAAGAGTTTGGACAAATATCAACACCAAATTTATTGTGTTTGATTCAAGTTTCATTTTCCCTCATATTACTTTCCTTCCAAAATTTTCCTTATATTTTGACCTCTATTTTCTTTGCCTAGCATTTCCAAAGATCCAAAAGAACCCTTGGAGTGCCATGAACCAGAAATCCAGAATATGTAATGTTGATCTCATAACTGTAACCGAAACAAAAAATAACAACTGACATTCTGGAAACAGAGAGCATCTCAATTTCTACTCTAGCTAGAATATATCATTGGAGTGCTGGAGCATTATAGTATTCTGATATGTAATGAGAGTATTGGATTGTATACTCCAGAGCTCTGAAAACCGCCATCTCCTTCAATTCTATTTGTTCATATAAACCATAGCGATCATCTAGCTCATAAGCAATAATAAATGTTTTAATAGCTTTATTTGACTAATGAACTATATTGACAGATATTCACATTTTCCTTCCCCCTACGGAAAGAAGAAAAAAAGCCTCCAACTTAAAGAAACGAAATCAAATTATCAAAAATAAGATAGAGTAACTTGGGCATTACTAAACTAGATATACATCTGATGATTTCTTAAAATAGCATGCAAATAGCTACCATCTAGTGTGCTTGAATAAGAAACACGAAGATGCCCAGGAAACTAACTAGCTTTTAAACACAAAGATGCTGGGGATTCCGCTTAACAAACCATGGGTAAAGGACACCCTGTTTCTTCATTCACATTCTAATATAATAACAAGAGAATGGAAGAAACAGAAATTCCAGGGAGAAACCTGAACAGATGAAGAGCGCTCACTAACCAGCATGTGAGTTGAGCTTAGGACGTTTGAGTTTTTCCAATTGTACTTGCGATTCCATAATGAGCTTCATTCTCTGAAGTTCCAAGTCTTTGGCAAATTGCATTCTCTGCTTCTCTAAATCTACCATCTGCCTAATTTTCGCCTCTTCCACTCTCTTGTATATCTCACCAAATTTCCCAATTGCTTCTGCTAAACACCGATACCCCTCCAACTCCACACCTGAATCTCTCTTCTTCCTCCGACCAGCAATCGCCGGCGCCGGCGGAGGAACCGACGTGTCAGATTCATCGTTCTCGTACGAGTCTTCTGTGGCAGCGGCCGCCGCCGCCGCCATCGCTGAAAAATTCCGCCGGGAAACCGAGTCATCAATTGACGACGGACGCTTTGACCTGGGGGCGACCGGAATTGATGACAGTGGGGGAGGAAGCGTCAGGCGAGTTTTACGCTGCGGAGCAGAGGTCGCCGGCGAAGTAGAGGGCTTGAAGTGGTCTCCAATGAGGGCGTCAAGACTACTGAAGAAGGGCCAAGATGAAACGTAATTCGATCGCGATTGAGAAACCCTAGCCCTCTCGGTCTTGTACTTCTTCTTCAAGGTGTCGATGCGGTTCTTGCACTGTATGTCGGTGCGGTGCTGCTTCTTTGTGTTGCCGTGGAGGGAGTTAACGGCGTCGGCGACCTCCATCCAGTGCTGCCGCCGTAGATTCCCCCGATTCAACTCCAGGTAATGAGCCCCCCAGGCCTCGATCAGCGTGTGAGTCGCGGCCTCCGACCAGCAGTCCTCCCTGGCCGGAAAAACCGGGGTCCGTGCCGCCGTTGGAGGAGGATCAGACTGGAACGGAACAAGAGCTTGGTCGTTGGTGGCCGGCGAAGAGGGAGCCGGGGATGGAGAGCGAGAGTTGTTTATGGAGGTGGGAGTGGCCTCGAGTTCGTCTTCGGACATGGCTTTGGATACCGGAGAGCCGTCGACGGCGACAAGGTCGTCTTTGGTGAAAGAGGAAGAGCTTTGGGGCGAAACGGTACGAGGAGTGGTAATGGGCTGAGGCTCAGAGGACATGGCGCCGACGACGAGAAGACGATTTTGGGCTCTCTCGGTTGGGGTATGAATTGTCGATCTTCACGCTCAAGCATTTGAGTGCACACTACCACGAAAGAGGGAAAATGGCGTTTATTTAATTTTATTTAAGCCTTTTTTTACTTTTTTTTCCTCCACTATCTCTAATTTTCTATTATCTCCTTGCCAAGTTCAAACTAGGTAAGAAATAAGAAAATTAAAAAATTATGTGATTGAAATTAGTTGTTTTAATAGAAAAGTGACAAAATTTCTTGAGACAATCGAAAAGAAAAAGTTACCAAAGTCCAATAGGGCAAACGGAATATGAACTATATATTTATTAATTATATAAGACAGAATTGAATCTCCGTCGCACGCCAGAGTTCCTGGCGCAGATGAAGATGAAGAAAAGAAGAGAAAATTCTGGGATGATTGAAAAATGAAATTGATGGTCAATAACAACCATGCACCTTACCTAGCTACCAAAGTCGGACAGAGAATCCAAATCCACATAAGGTGATGTTTATTATTAGGTATGATGATGAATAAATATATCAATCAAACATACTAATTTAAGGGTCATTTCTTTGCATTGCAGATGATTAATCAAATTTGATGTGTCCTCGTGAACTCTTAAATTTTTTTGAATTATATTTTCATGAACTCATAATGTTTCATTTGTAAGATTATTGATTCGTGTATTTGTAAGGGATACGGATTCTCTGCCTGGTTTTGCCGCCAGGTAGGGTGCCTAGCGAGATTAGGTCGTCCGATTGAATTCTTCACTCGTCCCAAACGTTAGCTCATGTCCTTCCTGCCGTCAGATTTGCGCAACACTCTGCCGTGCGGTAGAAGATCTGTTTCCATTTGTAAGACTACATAATCAATCATCTCAAAGAATAAATAAAATGATATTCAAGAGATTTATTTGGTGTGAAACTTAATGTAGATGATGATGTGGTGAAATCATAATGTTGGTCCCAGAAACTGTAGACTAACTAACAGCTAGATGGTTTTCATCGATAAATAGAGAAGAAAGATATCACAGAATGATTGGAAGAATATCGAGAACAGAGAAACCTTTCTTTCTCTTATATCGAGAAGTTTTTACAGAGTGATGCTGGGAAAATGGAATGTTCGACCTTAGGCCATGTACAGGAACGCGCATATTTATAGGCGCTGTACAGGTTACCTAAATTGGATACCTAGGAGTTTGGGCCTAAGACCTTTTTGGGCCTTATTCCCTTACTACCTAATTATTACACAATAATTAATACCATAAATGGTATACCTATTCTAATTAATAACAAGACATTAAGGACAAACTTGATTCACAATTTAAATATTCCTAACACATAATTAGCAAATTTATTAAACACTTTGATGTTTCATTAGAGAGATCACATTGGAAAAGATTATTTAACTTGAGGATCATGAAGACTAATTGATCATATTAATATTCAATGGAAATGATTAGATTAGTTTTCATGGTAAAATATATCGCATTGTATTTGTGATGTTATCTCTTTAAAAAGAACTACTACCTCTGTCCCCCTAATATTGAGACGACGGATAGTAATGTGGTTTTTAAGAAAAGTAGAGTTATGTAGTGGATATTGAGTTGATAAAGTGAAATAAAGTAAGAATGAATTATAGCCACACACAAATGTTACCACCAAATATTGTATGAGACAAAATTAGTGGGACAAACGGAAAAGGAAAAATAGGACACCTATAGTGGGATGGAGGGAGTAGTATAATACATGTGCAATGGAAGGTGCATGATTTTTTTCCAAATTTTTATAATCAACATTCCGCATTAAACATGTGCTATATTTTAAAGTTAAATGGCATTCATGAAAATAATATTTAAAAAACATTGCAATATAAAATTGTCGTGATTTCGAATTAGAGATAAAGGTTGGTACCCTTGATTTGTGTCAAAAACATTTTTTTGAAATGTTAATTATTTTTCCATTTTTTATATATGGAATATTGGTGTCATATGAAAGATAATAAAAAAAATCATGAAATTTGATATATTTTTTGTAACAATCAGAATTAAAATAAAAAATTTACAACACTTTAAAAAACAAAAGTTTTTTTGAAATTGCTAATTTTTTATTTTGATTTTTTATATGAAATATTGGTGTCATATGAAAAGATAATAAAAAGTTATAAATTTTGAAATATTTTTTGTAACAATCCGAATACAAATATAAAAGTTACAGCAGTTTAAAATAAAGAGAGGTTTTTTATTAGGTGGGCCCATTACTCAATTCCATCTTTTGGTTGTGCGTGATTCTTGCTGTGATCGTATGCCTAAGCCGCCACTTCAAGTGGCGGTTTCGTCAACCATGGTTTATTCCAGCATTATTTTGGGAATTATTTTTAACTCAGCGTTATTTTGAGAATTATTTACGGAGTATTTAATTAGCATTATTCCGGAAAAAGCTCCTACCAGAATGCTCTCATATCAAAGAAATCATATGTTAGGCATCTCAATTGCTATTTATGAACAATTTTAAATAGTGATTGTCAAGTGTTTTTAAATTGTATGTGACATTTTTTCAATACATTTCTATGATTGTAAATGTTAAATAATCAAACAAAACAAATGAAACATGACTATATTCTAGACTTTTTAGAGATACTATCTTTATCCCATAATTTAATTCTTAGTTTGACTTTGTTAGTCAAACTTTATAAATCTTGATAGTTACTTAATAAAAAATTGCATTTATTATTCAAATGTTAATTTGTTATTATATAGATTTTATATAAGTATTAATGATCGCTAGGAGAAGAAAGCGGCGACCAATCCCTAGCTTTCTAGGGTTTTGTTTTCCGGCGGTGGGTGTCTATTAGTGTCCGCCAATTTGGTTTAGGTGAAGCAGGTGAGTCAAGGGTTGTAAGAGATAGCTTTTGGTTTAGCGGTGATATTTGATTTGAGAGATTCACCAAAATACTTGTGGTGTTCTCTTACCGATGTGGCTTTTGCCAACGAGGCTTCACCAAATTGGAGCGACACAGGGAGCGGCAGGGCATAGTAGTGGGTGGGCTACACAAATGACTTTTTCCTGGAAAGTCTAACTATATGGTCTTTGGTATGACTGGTACGGAAGCATCATAAAGGGGGGAGCATTAGAGATGGGTTTTGGCTTTTTCTAGGTGTTATGGGTGATAATTTGTTTCCCCCTCCCGAACCAAAGCCTGGAAGTGAACGAGTGGTTAGGACTTGGAAGAAGACGTTTCAATGATGCTGTTACAACGGAACTGTGTGGAGCTCTTATCAGAAGTTATCTTTCTCTTGGCATGGCTTACTTTAGTTAGGTGTTTTATTTTGTTGTTTGGATTCTTGTTAAAGTCTACGTTGCTAGGTTTGTCTGGATGATTGGAAATTTAGCTTATTTTTATGTCGTTAGAAGTATACGCATCTATAAGACCAGTGATAGTTGTGCCTAATGCGTATCGTGATTATAGATTTGTGTTGCTCTTTCAAGGGTAATCATCTATATGTCCAATCATATAGCGTACAGTCGTAATTGATAAATGTCAGTTGCTGCAATGTATGAATTATCATTATTGGATATAACGATAATGAAATTAATGATATCAATTTAGGCGATATCCTTTCAAAAAAAGTATATAGTTTTAGACATTTAGGGTCAAATTTTCTCCTACATGACCTTAAAAGTCAAACAGAGAATTTTGTCGTGGAACGAATGGAGTATAAGAGATCGTAAATGATATATGAACAAAAAAATGAAGAAATAAGTTTCAATCCATCAAAAACAGTGATAAGTATGGATGCAGTATGTATTAGGTTACTTTTTCATCCGTGTTTTATCTTTATTTGGATCAAAGTTATGTGCATTTTGGAACTAATAATCACATAGGATAAAAAAGAAGGAAAATATCAATTCCACGCATTTTGTGAAAAGGACTTTTACTTATTAAGCGTGAAGATATCCGCAACACCAATTCAATACAAGCTTGCGAAACATAACGAATAACTACTCCGTGGTACATTTCGTTATGTGTCAAAATAAGAGAAATAACAACTAATTAAAGACCTCACAATAACATCTTTACGGATCACGATTTTGCAGTGATGAATTTATAGGTAATAGTATAGATAACAACATGACCCATCACGTTAAAAGTTAAACTCAAAACAAATTAAAGAATTCAGATCGTGGATGAGAGCAAACGAAACAGCGAGCAGGGGGTGGGGCGAACAAGTAGCTTGTATTGGAGAAATATTTTAAGAAGGGTATTAACAATGTTGCTGGGATGAAGGTGCCCACATCAATGAGAGATCCAATGGACACGGATCTAGTTCTGTTATTATTGCAAGTGAGGTTAGAGATACTGGGAAGTCGAAGGACGACATACTAGTAGCTGAACAAAAAAAGGAGACGAAAGTGGAACCACACACAATGATGAAGATGGAAATCATTGGAAGAAAAAGTGGGATTGGGGCGAACTCTAGATATCGACTCACCGGGACAATTGAAACCGTGATGCGCGAGTTGGCCGATTTTTTCGGGAATCGTTTGCTGAAGGAAGACAAATTGGAGAAGTGGAGTGTGTACAGTTTTTTCTAGGTGACATCGGCTCTCAGAGATCTTGGTAGAAATATAAAAAGCCGCTTTTTAATTCGAAAAAGGCCATTTGAGCCCCATAAAATGAGTTGATAATCCAAAAGAGCTAAAAATAGTAAAACACCTGCTAAATGGACTGTTTTGGTTGAGTTTTAATATCACCCGAAAAAAATAAAGGTAAGGTTACTTTATAGATGATACTTGCATATATTATGTCACCGACCAACATACATAAAATTGAGTAATACGTAGTAATTTTTTAAGAAGAATTAGGGAGTAATTGCTTGTTATTACAAATATATGTAAATACGTAATTAAATCACAAACTCTTAAAAACAAACATTAAACAACCAACATGACAAAACAAACACTAAACATCAATCACTAAATAACAAACACAAAATAACAAACTCTTAAGATACACTTAGAGCATATTTGGTGAGCCTATTCATCGCCTCACATTTTTTATTTGGCCCGCTGAATTGGGTAATAATCAAAATAGGTAAAATTGAAGTTACTTCTCTAACTGATTCGGCTGAAGTTA